TTGTTCAAAATTTTATTCATGTGCAATTATGTAATTACTAGAGTTGCCAAAGTTAAAATGTTAATAATGTGTTATTGCGATAAATTATTAATATCATCCAAATTTTTAAGGCTGTTAACACATTTCCCTAGTTTGACCCTTCGAACCATCCGTAGCAGTGCAGGCTGAGGCCCAGCTGCTTGGGTGCTGTATGTTGCTATAAAAAACCCACAATTGTAGCCCTCACAGTTAAAAGGAAGTTTTTAAATAGCTTTTAAAGCACTTACTTTCAGCACATTCGGCAGACACTGCTGGACAGTGCTCACAGGACACCTATAAACCAGTCAGCAGCAAACTAACAAAAGCAGTAGTTCACTGAAACTAATGACCTTAACACAATACACAGCTTTTAAAATGGGAAAAAAATCTCTTAATCGCAATTGACTAAACAAAATAATGTCATTAACTGCAATGAATTGTTTTAATCTGTTGAAGGATCTAGTACTTACACATACACTAAGGGTGCAACTACTTCAGTACAGAAAAATGAGATCCAGAACCGTGTACTGAAGTTCAAACGTGTGTCATGAATACGTCCCTCTGTCTTCTCTGAATCTCACATTTGCTGTCTTTTGTGGACACCACTGTCAAAGCTTGACAGATGTTACCTGCTCCTCCTTGTACATTCATTATTACTGCCTTTTTATCTCAGGATAGATCTTACTGCATATTTTTGTATATTTCTAGTTGTATATATGCCTGTAGATAGTTATTTTTTTGTATAGATTGTTTTGTTTTTATATTGTATCACCCTTATTCTTAGAACTGTGCTGTGTTGTGCGGCTGTAATCTTTCCTTTGGGATCAATACAGTATGAATGTATGTATGTATGTATGTATGTATGTATGTATGTATGTATCTATCTATCTATCTATCTATCTATCTATCTATCTGCACCGACACTCAGAGGCCAATCAAATCATAAATCCTCTGTAGAATTAACATTTCCAACATATTAAATATCGCAGTGGTCTTCAACCTGTGGGTGGTCCTGCTAGGGGGCCATTAGTCAATTTTTAACTTTAAAAATTTTATTTAATGTTCTTGTAAAAATTTATATAATGTATATAATGTTCTTACAAAAATAAAAAGTGGGGTTCTCCCGAGTGGCGCAATCGCCTAAGCGTTGGCCCTAACATCAAGAGATTGCGAGTTCAATCGGTGATGCTAAAGCCGTCCGTAGCCGGAAAACCAAGAGAGCACAATTGGCCTCGCTCTCTGGGTGATTAGGATGGCTCCCTCTTCTCCCCCCATCGCTCAGCTGACGTAATAGAACTGGTGGTTGGCGTTTTCCTCCAAGCGCGTTCAGCTGTCCAATGACATTGCATGAGCGGCAGTTTGAAAAGATGCGGCGGCACTTCACAGGTCTCGGAGGAAGCCTGTGCTAGCCTTCTCCCTCCTAGCGTTAGTAGTATCATGTGACTGGGGGAGTCCTAACCAGTGGGTGGAATTGGAGACAACTAAATTGGGGAGAAAATTGGGTAAAAAATAAAAAAAAATAAATAAATAAATAAAAATAAATAAAAAGTGATACTTATCTTGAGCCCATTGATTGGTCTAGCAAAATTCTGGCTAGTTATGTTGATGTAAAACATTTACTTTTCAATCATATGCAATTCATTCAACAGGGATAAATGGTTAAAGTCGTTGTTTTTTGAAAGGAAACATTCCAATTCTCGGCCATCAACAAGTGGCCACTGTATCTTAGACAGAGAAAACAAAGAAAACCAAGTAGAGGTCTGCATTCCCACAGGACCTACCACAATATCTTGTGGGCCAGGGCTAATTTTCATTGTGGTGCATGGGAGTGGGCAGTTAACTGGCCCAGTGCAGGCAGGAGCAGGACAACACATACGTGTAGAGAAATCTCACAAATGAACGAATAGCCTACATAAAATGATCCTAATAATTGGCATATATAAATGATATCTAACAGCAAAATAACAAACGAATAAACTCATTCTAAATAGACCTTCTGAACTAGTTCTAAATAAAAGCAAACATCAGATGGCCACAGCTGTGGAAAGTGCTCTTGAGAAAGACAAATATATTATAAATAGAAATATAAATACATAAGATGACACTAAAGCCCAATAAAGGCAAGTCTGACCAACAGCAGTCATTTTCACTCGTGACTAATGCAGACGGGAACTGGTGGAAATCCTGGACTAAAAAAATCCCACCCAGACCTCTAAAGCCAAGCATAAACTGAAAGATAGAAAATACGGCGGCAGATAACGCTAAGCTTTGCATGCATGGGAACTAAAAACAAGCAAATACGGCTCTGTACTGTATGATCAGTGGTCTCGTCAAATGAGGCTTTGCAGCCAAACAATTTACACCGACACTTGGAGACTAAAGGCCTCAGGATACTTCTTGCAGATACAATGGCTTTGGTGAACAATACAATGTAACTGTCGAGAAAACAAACAACCGCAGATGGTGCGCAGAAACTTCGCTCACACACATACACTATATGGCCAAATGTATGTGGACAACTGACCATTGCACCAATATGAGCTTGCTGGCAATTCCAATCCAAAACTATGGGCATTAAATGCAGTTGGTCCCCCCTTTGTGGTAATAACAGACTCCACTCTCTTTTGATTTTGGAGTGTGTGGGAATTTGTGCCCCATTCAGTCAAAAGAGTGTTTGTGATGTCAGGAACTGATGATGGATGAGAAGGCCTGGCTCGCAATCAACGTTTCAATTCATCCCAACCCATCCCACCCCCCTCAGTTGGGTTGAGGTCAGAGTTCTCTGTGGACCACTGTAGCTCCTCCACATCAAACTCATCAAGCCATGTCTTTATGGACCTCACCTTGTGCACTGAGGCACAGTCAGCCTGGAACAGGAAAGAGCTTTCCTTGAAGTGCTGCCACAAAGTCAGAAGCATGTAATTGTCTAAAACGTCTATATATGCTGCAGCATTAACATTACCCTCTGCTGTAACCAAGAGGCTGAGCCCAATCCCTGAAAAATAGCCCCAGACCATCATCCCTCCTCCACCAAACTTTACTGTTAGCACAATGCATTCTGTTTGGGCATGTGTCAAACCCAGATTCATCCATCAGACTACAAAACACTAAAGCATGATTCAAAACTCCAGAGAACATGTTTTCACTGCTCCAGAGTCCAGTGGTGGCGTGCTTTACACAATCCAGCCAACACTTGGCTTTTTGCATGGTGATCATTTCCATTAGACAAACCTAATTTGCCCTCATTTACATATAAACAAAGCATGCTCTAAATCATGCACATGTTTTAAAAGGGAGCCTATAAAATAAAAGCTCATGAGCCATGTTAATTAGTGATAATTAGTATAATCATTATTTTCTCTTTTTATGGCTATTGCAGATATTATTGATGCTGTTGAAAATAATTGTGATTATTTAACCTCAAATTAGGCATTTTCAGGCAGTTACAACATTAAGCTCGCATGTACACCCACTTCTACCACACGTGAGTTTGAGTGGAAGTATACAGCAAAGAAGAAATGGATAAATGATAAAAACTATTAGTGAAATTTGTATGCGTTCATTTTTTGATCAGATCTGACCACGCGCCAGTTTGATGCATAAGGATTTAAAAGTAAGTTTAGTAAATTTTTTTCTTTGTAAAATTTGTTACTTCCAAAGTCAGAAACAGTCACAGTAATACAACATGTAATATAATATTACACTTTGTTTTTGTTGATTGGCATTTTCTCTACCATCATTTCTCTACAAAGATCTCTGACGTCTTTAGTGAATTTGTGCTGTATGAAAGCCCTCGTGTTGATTTGTGAACAAAAACCAAGAAAGAAAAATTCTAAAATGCTATTTCAGGAATACTGAGATGAGGAATCGAAAGGCATTTTGAGCTTCTTTCCGCACCCAAGAGTTCAGTACATATGGCTGAGTGTGAAAACTGTTTTCAAGCTGTTTTACTCACAGCTGCTTTAATGAACCAGACTCAGCCAGCAGAATCTACAACTGTACACCCAAAAGCATTTAGTGGATGAATCCACATAAGCCTTTGAGTAATCAGCTCTTCTATGATTGATACAATACTTCAGTCTTCACAAGTAATTACATTATGAACTAAGCTTAAATGGAGTTCTTTCGGCCAAATAAAGCCCATTTTGTAAGGCGCTCCGATGCTAATTAACACTTGCTGTATCTAATCTCTTAAAATAATTGCCCTATCTTATTTATTTGTTTGGTTATTTTGCATGTGGAGTAATTAGTGTCAGGCCTAAGCACCGAAAGTTAATGAGCAGTAGATAAGAAGATGTTTAGGTTGCAAAAAAATAAAACACATTTTCTCTCACAACAACATTAAAAGAGCATATATTTCCGTTGTTTACTTAATCCTCAAACGCTCAGGAACAATCTGATTTAAAAAGTATAACTTTTACAGCAAATTATCCTGCGACATAAGTAGCGTGTTGACATGGTTTTGCGGTATCCGGAATGCCGGTGATGTTAATTGTTTTTGGAGCGCGAACGTGAGGGGAATTGATTGCACAGTAAACGATGACAAAAGTCTGCAGTTCGACAGCTGATTTAGTGAGTGCCGGCTGCGAGCGGTGGCTGGAGCTTTTTCTCTCTCTCTCTCACTCTCTTTCCTTCTGCCGTGTGTCCTGAATCAATATCTATCAACGATTTGAAATTAAACCCAGATTAAATCCCAATTTCATCACGGAGAGGCACGTCTGGAGAGATTCATTTAATTATATCAGTCTGCGGAAGGAGAATCGAAGTTGTTCTTCACCTTTATCTATCTTACTGAAATGTCAACCCAGCCAAAAACAATCTCGGGCAAGTTTTGATACAATTTCTGTAATCTCAGCTGTGAGTGATGAAAACTGCGACTGTCAGAGATGATATTTCTGGCACGGGGAAAAAGAACTCAGCGACGCCTCTTTACAAATCTCCACAAACACCTGCGAGAAAATTGCCTCTGAAAAGTGGTTTACCTTGTACTATGAGATGAACTTTGGTGGATTCTGGCTTCTTGTTAGTGAGAATGGAGCAAACGTACGGCCCCTCGTCGTGTAAGTTCACGTCCAGGATCTTTATACTGTACTCTGTGACCGCTGTGTTGTTCAGGAGAACCACTCGGGGGTCCAACGACCATTTCTCATTCCCCGTAAAGAGGATGGTGGTCCGATTCAGCCAAGCTACTCGCGATACCTTGCTGTCCACATTGCATCTGTTGAAACACAAGAGAAAATACAGTTTAAGCTTCTATGTACAAAACAATAATCTGGTTACTCCAATTTACTCCAAATCTGTCGGCAATATTTTATTCAATGTGTTTATTTACATTTCAGTAATCTGATGATGGGGAAACTACAAGTCATTCAATAATCATATTATATTATACATAGTTCATACTATAAATGTTATGCGGTCATATGCGTCCCTAACCACAACAAATAGTGATTTAAATGATTGGATCACAATGTGTCTCCAAGGAACATTGTACCTGGTTCACAACTGGACTTGAGTGCTGTCCACTTATAATTGGATCACCCAGGATGCATGTTAATCCCAAGTGGGAATGGGGCCCTAGTAAGGTGGGTGAAATAAGATAATGAAGTTTTGGCGAATGACTTAGTAAGGTGTGGGAATGAGATAGTTAAGACATGGCCATGACTTGGTAAGGTGTCAAAGTCATTAGTAAGGTGTGTAAATGAGAGGTAGGATACAGGGTCATGGTCTTATTAAGGCATGGGAATGAGAAAGTTTAGTTGTGGTCATAACGGAACTGTCACAACTTCTACATCTTGTTCCCACATCTTGCGGCCACACATCGTTGTTGTCAGAAGAGAACCTCGTATCTCCATTTTTAAGGTTTTCCAGTATTTGACATGACTTGAAAATACCTGTTACCCTTTAAATTGTATGTACATTTCATGATGAATGGACTAATGAAATGATCCAAAATGACTCGGAAAAAAGTCTGGTTCTATTGACTTACATAAAAAGTAAAGTAGGTTCCTTACTTAAGTTCCTTCTCCTGTAAAGTTACCATTTTGGAGATATGAGGTTTTCTTCTGACAACAGCGATATATATATATATATATATATATATATATAAATATACACCTCTTCTCTATCAAGATTTGTTTGCACACATACACAGATGTACAAAAACAAGACACCAGAACACATGCACTGCATAACTAGATTACTCGGCCTGAAATCCAAGTCTCTTTATTGGAAATCCTGAAATCTAATACAGGATATCATAGTATGCTGTTTACATGACCACTTGAATGATCTGGCTGAAAGCAGACGAAGATTGTATTATTAGCGCGTATGTAAACAGACTCACTGAACGCTGGCTTTGTTGCTGCTGTCAAAATGACAGCTTTGCTTTGACCAGTGGCCTTTTATTTGCAACTGCAACTCTAATTATCATCATTTAAACAAGGATAATTTTAGCGTGACAAAAAGCTCTCGCTGGCATCCACCAAAGACAGTAATGATTTATATTCCTGATTTATATCCTAGATACAATACGCAGCCCTAACCTCGAGCATAACCTTCAATTCAAAAGAGTATACGACTGAAATATCATAATGCTCCTGTTATCTCCTCAGCAGCCTCACAGCACAAAATAAAGGCTATGCAGAGAAAGTGATATAAACAATGAAGTATGAGTTTGTTGGAAAGAAAAACAGCGTTCAGTAGAATTCTAAGCAAATATAAGCAGTTTTTTTCTTTATTTTGTTACAGATCACTCTTAAAAATAAAGGTTCATAAACAGTTGTAGGAAGACACCATATTTTATAGTAGAAACTGTGCAATGCACTGCAAAAATGATACCTAAGCAAATATCAAAGCAAAGAAGACATAAATGTGGTCAATATATCTAATATTTTACAGTATGAGCTTGTTGTAATAATATTGTATGATTATTAAACTGATTTCTATACTTTTTTGCTTTTTTTAACAGCAATTTGTCTAGTGAAAGTGTCGTTCCATTGGTGGAGAATTTTACTTGTGTTAAATATTATTTATTTAAATAAGCAGAACTTTCTGCCAATGTTATAAGACACTTTCACTAGAGAAAATGACTTAAAACAAGAAAAAATGTATAGAGATGTTCAATAATCTTGCAGTATTCTTACAATAATCTCATAATGCAAAATATTAGACATATTGGTGCCTCGATTTAAGATGTTTCAGCAGTGTAGATGAGCTCTCATTTACAAAAATGGTTATATAACCCCTTAGCAAGTCACGGGCCCATCGGCAGGCCCAAAGTTTTATTACTCACTTCTATAACCTAAGAATAGCTCCCTTAGTTTGCATTAAAGCCCCTGTGGTTACTGAATAATGAGCATTTGTATGACATAAACCTGGAATGCTAAGGGGTTAAAGAACTATCTATTCAAAGGTTTTTTTAAGGAATGAAAAATGGCTCTGATTTTTAAAACCATAATAATGATAATAATAATCAAAACTTGCGACCACATGGAAGTGTGGATATTCCACTCTCTGGATATAAAAAGATGCACTTGCTTGTAAATTCCCTCCATAAGGAAATGTGTTCATGAACGCTTCACATAACTGACAAAAGCTGTGAAACTGAACCTCACAACTTATCATACCCCTCACCAAGAACGCCTCCATTGTTCATTAATTAAGCAACACTTGCAAAGGTCTTTAAGTTTATTTAATTTACTTACATTTCACCCCACCAGGCAGGAATAACAGACAATGGCATATAAAACCCTGCCTGTTTCGAGAAAACGGAGGTTAGCTATTATACCGCAACACCTCTCTTCAGCGTTTTTAGCAGTAAAGGCTGCAATACAAAGGCTTGGGGAGGATTTTTCACTTTTCAGGCCCAACATCTATTCAAGTGCCAAACATTCTTCCAGCATGGAACAGCAGCATCTCAAAATAGTCTTCCGATTGCCAAGCACGGCAGAGAGGAGCCTCCTCAGAGCTAAACACTGTCATTGCTTATCTGTCAATAGCAGAGGAAGTGCTAGGCCAGTGTGGTATTCTTCAATGACACTTACAAGGTGTCGCAAAGATTTCCATCCCAACTCTGCCTGACTCATTCGTATCTGCATGCAGCCCATAATATTCCGCAGCAGCAATTTTTCTTTTCCTCCTCTCAAGGTCGAATCCACTACAAGGTCAAAGGCACTAAACGGATTATCCAGGCCTTTTTTGGAACACCATTTAGCAGCACCCTCCATGAAGAAAAAAAAAATTAGTCAACAACAGAGCACTTCTCACAGATTCTGCAAATCTTGAGGGCAACAATAGAGCATGTGAAGTGAATGCTTTCTCAGGATATTCTTCAAAGGGGATGAGCTCATTCGAAGGGTGCTAATCTGCACCGAGTGGCGGAGTGCAGGAGAGCTTGCCGAGGATTCGAGCCATAGAAAACCACCAGATTAAGCTGCGCTCAATATAATCGTGCATGCTCCGCACTTTTTCACTTCGGAATCGTACGTCTGTGGACAAAAGCGAGAGGCATTCCGGTTTCCAGTTTTTAGCCTTACAATAACTTTACGCTTCTGTTTGACCTCAAACATTGAATGTTTCGTAAGACATATGCTGTTCACTGGATGCATATAAGGGTACGCAAGATGGATCAAACATAACATGATACTTTTAGGCACTTTCATGATTAGAGATGTGCACAGTGAACCATTGAAATACTGACATCACTATTCAGGTATTTGCTTCATTTCAGCATGGAAAGATGGAGAATTAACAGGACTGTAAAAGGTAGCGAGTTCAGTCATATTTGAAATTATTAGCATATTATACTATACGTTGGTGCTACAAAACACACACAGTTTCTAAACTGCTTATCCTTCTGGGTTGTGGTGGGTGCTGGAGCCTATCCCAGCGGTCACTGGGCGGAAGGCAGGAAACACCCTGGACAGGTCACCAGTCCACTGCAGGGCAGACAGACAGACATACACATTCACACACACATTCACACCTAGGGGCAATTTAGCATATCCAATCGGCCTGACTGCATGTCCTTGGACTGTGGGAGGAAACTGGAGCACCCTGGTCACCGGCCGGGAATCGAACCCAGGCCCTTCTTGCTGTAAGGCTGCTACAAAACATAAGTGCCTTAAAATAAGGATGTGACTGAGAAGGCAGGGTTTTTGTTGGACTATATCGCTAACTAGGCCAACTATTCTACCTGACGTTTACTAGGTTTAGAAACAGTGAAAATATATTTCTCTGACAAACTAACATGTTGCCACACTGCGCATCTGTAAGACCATGAGTCCTCATCCAACATGAACACCCACTGATTTTCTTCCTACTTTTGAAAAATAAAACATGTTTTGAAATGTGTTCCTCTGCATGCTGCTGTCACCTAAAATGATAAGGCTACAGTTCTGCATTAACCTTGGCTGAAGTCTGTTTTTTTTTCCTTATTTTTTACTTCCCTTCTAACTAACTGGTTATTCCTGCATTACTCCTTAAAGACACTCAAATATTAAAGTTAGACAAAATCACATCCTTATTCATGATACACAATCTGTGTAATGATATTTAGTGATATTAGTTATGAGTTGAAACAGATTAACAGGTTGATGATTCATGTGTTTTATTATTATTATTAAATGTTTCAGATCATCCAACTCATTTAAATAAAAGATGAAGACAACATGAACATAAACACAAAATAGAGATTTTTAAATGATCATTACATTTATTGAAGATAAAAATTTATTCAAAGCCAATATCACTCATGTGGAAAGTACTTGCCCTCCTAAACCTAATAACTGGTTGTGCCAGCCTTGGTAGTAAAAACTGCAATCAAATTTTTGCATACCTTGCAATGAGTCTTTTACATCACTGTGGAGGAATTCTGGCGAACTTTCCTTTGCAGAATTTTGTTAATTTAGCTACATTGGAGGCTTTTCGAGCATAAACTGCCTGTCTTGCCACAGCATGTCAATGGGATTCAAGTCAGGACTTAGCCTTAATTTTGCTTCTTTTGAGCCATTCAGAGGTGAATGTGCTTGTATGCATTGGATCATTGTCCTGCTGCATAACCCAACTGCACCTGAGCTTTAGGTCACAAACTGACAGGTGGAAATTCTCTTTCAGGATTCTCTAACAGAGAGCAGAATTCATGGTTCCATTAATTATGAGAAGCCCAGGTCCCGCAGAGGCAAAGCAGCCCCAGACCACCACACTATCACCACCATG